GGAAAAAGAGTGGAGCGAACTGTCTATTGGCTCACAAAACGAGACACAAACCATGAGACCCATGATTTTATAGTTTACAAAGTTAAAATGCAAAGAAATAAACAGTAAGTAATTTAATGCCCTGCTACATTTGTCATTGGTAATTTCATATACACATAACCACAATTTGTTTTATCATTATAAAGATAATCATGTTCACATAAACACTATAAATGAGGATGACTTCTCGTCCTTAATCCCTGGGTCTGAATGCTGACACAGTTTATAGCAATGTAGTCTCTTGCCCTGTCTATATCAACCAATAACCCTGCCGGTAATCTGGAGGATTTTAAACATGTGCGAACACAGCAGCACTGATAAAGGCGATGTGTCTCAATGGTAACCTGATGATAACGACCTCCACTGATAAAAGACAAAGTCCGCCATTCTCTAATTCTCATACAGCTCTCCCCACAAAAATGCTTGCTGTAAACCAGCAAAAAACTTCTCATAGGATTAGAAAACTCTGCTATGCATAATAATGAGAAACTGACGCGTCATCACTCCACTTGCAGTTTTGTGCTACGTCATCAATTTTGATCCCGCTGCAAAAAATATTTTAAACCCGTAAGAAAAAATTAGCTGACAAAAGCTCATAATTATCCAGTTTTCCCAACAATTATAGGTAACAGGTGTAACGTTGTCTTTACTGATGCTCAACACACACAAATCTGGTAACATTTCAAAAAAAGTACTCCAGGGTTCCTTGAACCTTTAAAAAATTTTCCCTATAATTTAGTCAACACTTCATTCAACATGATAAATAAACTACTAGTCAGTCAACATTTCCAACAATAAAAATATCAAGTCCTGTTGAATTGAGCAGCCTAATATGCTTTAACATTCCACTCTGAAAAATATATCATGCATTACTAAAAATGTTTTATCACTTTCACTTTCCTTTTGCGTAGTCCCTGCTTTTTAATAGCTTTAATTAATTTAGTGCTGTCAATCGATAAAAAAAAATTAACTAATTAATTGCACTTCTTAAAAAAAAAAAATAATCGCATTCGTAGATCACTGTCTTTGTTTTGGTACTTTTAACCCACCCATTGCCAGCTTAGCTGATTATATTTCAGCACACGGGGTTGCCTTGCTGGAAAACCACATATTCCATTCAGGCAGGAAGACTCTCAAAGCATGTGTTCATGACTGATATGCGACCTCCGGTGGACAGTAGCAGACTAACAAATGAGACGCAGATTCAGAATTCCAAATAAGGTTATTAATTAGCAAATAATATAAAAATGACAAGCCTAAACATTAGGTGAGTAGGTTATATTGTAACCCTGCGTGCTGACAACATGCTACGTGACAATGATAAGCAATTAAGCTGTTTGCACTAGACGAATCCTGACAGAAATATAAATACAGCCATTCAGAAGCACAGAATATGCACACACTCACAAAATGGTACATATTAAACCTCTTTAACTTGATTAAATGTACATGGTGAATCACTGATATGTGTTGGATTTGAGTCACAGTTTTAAAGTTCAGTTTTAAATGGTTTGTTTTATTTTCAATATCAAAGGTGAAACTATCTGCTGCAGCTTTCAGTAGTATGGCAATACATGTCATGTAAAATGGCATTCAAACTCGCATTATTAGCATTTAACGCTGAATAAAGCACATGAGGTGCACCTAAGGTGATCGTTGTGGGTTTTCTGTTGTTCACCTCCAAACAATAGAAGCCATTTCTAATATGTTAATTCGAGGTGTTGATTAGAACAAAAACTCCTTTGAATATGGAAACCTTTACTTCTATTGCGTACCATTGCATTTATTTAGAACATGATTTAAAATAAGCCTATAGGCTCAAGACTTGATCCTGTTGGTTGTTAACCTGGCAACCTGGGCTTGCCTTTGTTTTGATCAAACAATGTAATACTTAGTTCAACCACTGGGTGTCAAACTTACATACTGCACCTACAAGAATTAGCCTGTAATGTTAAAAATCTCTCTTTTTTAACTCTTTCTTTTCAGGACAGAGTCCCATGACCACCACCAGGCCAATCCCCCCAGGTATGTTTGAACTCATTTGTAATTTGTTTTCAATTTTTATTGAAAAAGTAAATAGTTATTAAATAAATGCATGCAAACATTCATACAATTTGCTAATATGGCTTCACTTTGATATAAATCCAAATTTCCACAGCTGTGTTTTATCCATTTGGTGATGGAGACACAGTGATTGCTCGTTCTGATGATGGCAGTTCATCTGTGATCTACCTTCTGCAACAGTTCATTTTTTTTGGACAAAGATATAGTCAAATTTATGTAAGTCAGTATACAAAGCAAACTTGTTCATTCAAACATGTTTTCAACCTTGTACAGATTCCTTAACAGTCTTGTAGCCTGTAGATATTTCTAACCGTGATAATAATAACTTGCATTGTTTTAAATAAACTGTACATTATAAGTCATGTTAATCTGTTTCAGGTCAACAACAATGGAGACTTGACTTTTAATGGGCAGTTTAGCAGCTATACGCCATACAGGTTCCCAGGTTATGGTACAAGAGACATCATTGCTCCATTCTGGACAGATTTGGACACCAGTGGGAATGGTGTGGTTTCATATCGTCAGTACACCAACAGCAGTGTGCTCACAGAGGCCACACAAGACATTAACCAATACTTCCCTGATCTGAGCTTCTCTGCTTCATGGGTCTTTGTAGCAACATGGGACAGAGTAGCATATTTTCCTCAATCAAGAACGGTAAATATCCTAACTTGATTCCTGTCCTTGATTGATAACATATTGGAGAAACGAAAATGAATGAACCAAAGAAAGAATAATTGTTACATATTCTATGATTCTTGTAATTACCTACAAGAACTGTTTTAATTGGTATTGACCAGCACATTTATAATTGTATTTTTCAGGAAACATCTTTCCAAGTGGTTTTGATTTCAGATGGCCATTACACATTTGTATTGATGAATTATGGAACAATTGCTCCAGCTCAACGTACGATACAGGTGCGACTAACATGGCAACTAAGTCCCCATTTACACTAATGTGTTTTCGTTTTAAAATGCATACGTTTTGCTATGGTTACCCATCCGTCCACACTACGCTGGAGTTTTCGTGCGCCGAAAACGGAGCATTTTTTAAACGCTGAATAGGCTGTTTTCATTCTAAAACGCTGCTGCTCCGTCTCAGTGTGGATAGGGGAAAACGGAGACATCTGAAAATGTAGGCGGGGCTGCAGACATTCGCCTCTCTGATTGGAGCTTTTCCGCAATATTAGGTAGCCTACACAAAGTTCAGTCCTGCATCCTCTCCTTGTAAGTTCAGACTTCGCAAGTTTGATATGGAAAACAAACTCACGACGACATGTCCGGTAAATCTTCAAAGGGAACAGTGTACTTTATAACCTTATTCACATTACCCAGGCTACTATAACTTTCTCAACGATAAAATGAAAACATGATTTAAAGAACTGCCTATTTTCATTTGATATTAACAACTTAACAGACAGCAGAAATGTTGAGGCGTCATGCTGCATATACGAGCGTCATCTTCACTGTGTGGATATTTATAACAAGACAGAGCCTATAACATCACTGGCTCCTTTCATTTTCATTAAAAATACAAAACATACCCTCTTTTGCTGAATATCAGTTTTAACAATCAATAATGGCCATTATAAAAGTATAACATACAATAATTTTATACATTAAAGGAAATAAAGGCAAGCGATCAGTCAATATACAGAATGTACATGGTTACATTAACTTATCTTTGCGCTCAGCCAAAACACGTTACCTGAGAACAAGTAATAGATTCAAAAGACCAAAGTCAGGGAATATGCCGTTTGATGCGCGTGTGTGTGCGTGCGTGTGTGTGGTCGCGGTCACGTGATGTGCGTTTCAGTTGTTTTCGTGTAGACGGAGAGCTGTTCAGAAACGCTGGATGGAACACTAGTGTGGACGCAGATCGTTTTCATTCTAAAACCCCATTTTAAAACTAAAACGCACTAGTGTAATTGTGTAATTGGGCCCTAAAATAAACATAGTTAAAAGATATTGTAAATAAGATACTTAAAGTGTTTTATCATAATTATTACAGGCTGGTTATGACACCATCAACTCTACATACCATTTCTCAATTCCTGGATCTTTCTCGAATAACTTCACAAACTTGACATACAGCAGCAATGTCAATGTGCCAGGCAGATGGGCCTTCAGAACAGATCATGGATCACGGGGTTGTCAGTTTAATGGTATGGTCTTTTTTTTTTTTTTGTCTTAGCCTGCTGTGCTCCTAGATTGAGGGTGTCCACATTTTTTATCATGGAGGGCCTCTTTCCTTCCTTTATTTAATACCCCTGCTAAAACGTTGCAAAGAGGCAATCTGCAATTGCCTCTTTGAATATCACACTAACTGTACAAAAAAAAAAAAAAAAAAAAACTACTAACACTTCCCTTCTTAGACTTTACAGACCTGAAACTTGCCTTTAGTACTTATTCATTGTTGCTCTTAGTTGTGTAAATTGCTTCCTTGTCCTCATTTGTAAGTCGCTTTGGATAAAAGCATCTACTAAAGGACTAAATGTAAATGTAAATGTAAAACATACTTGTACCACTTATACAATTTCTTATATGTTGCTGCAAACTGGGGATTTTTGGAACTAACATTGGCAGAATGACATTTCTGTCCTAGACTAAATAAATTAATTGTTATTTTTAAATTGCTTTAACTTAGCAAAGAAAATCTTGATAATATATTTATTCATTGAACATTCAGCAATTTAAAGTTTGAAGCCTTGTGAACTTATTTTCTAGGTAGTGCAGTGCAGCTTGGAGACTCTTTCTGGAGTGATGCCACCTGCCGGCAGAAATGCATTTGTACCAACAGTGGTCTTCAGTGTAGCCAGAAGCCATGCAGTTATTCCCAAGCCTGTCGTCCAGCTGCCTTCCAATTCTCTTGCCAGAACATTCCACGTCAAACATGTACCATCTCTGGTGATCCTCACTACTACACGTTTGACAATCAGGTTTTTCACTTTCAAGGGACCTGCACATACGTTCTATCAGAGGTTAGTATTTCTCCATTGTAGGTGTTGCTAAGCTTCCATCCTGCAGATTACAGCTCCAACCCTGCTTCAACATACCTGTCTATGGTTTTATAGTAGCCATTAATATTTTGATTGGCTGAATCAGGTGTTTGATGGCGTTAGATTTGAACTCTCAGAAGCACGATTCTGAGAAGCTACATCTGCTCTATAGTGGCTTTCTGTTTATTGTGTAATAGCTGTGGATCTGCCAATAATCCTTTAATCTTTGTTTAGGCTTGCGGTATTGGATTGCCATATTATCGCATTGAAGGCAAAAATGAGCATAGGGGTAGCACGCATGTGTCTTGGACACGGATGGTTAGAGTGTTTGTCTATAATAAAGTAATTGAACTGGTCAGAGGTCACAACTATGAAGCAAGGGTCAGTATAAGCATTTATTTTCATTCTCTCTCAATTGCTGTCTTGTATCAATTTTCTAATTCATTGTTTTTCATTTTTATTTTATTCAGATTAATGGAAGCTTTGCAGCAACACCGTTCTCCCTACGCAATGGCTCCATCCAAGTCTATCAGTCAGGTTTTTCTTTGGCCATCAGCACAGACTTTGGTCTGCTTGTTACATATGATGCATACAGCTACGTCAGGATATCTGTACCATATGACTATCAGAATGCCACCTGCGGTCTGTGTGGAAACAATAACCTGCGCTCTGATGATGACTTCCGTTCACCCAGTGGGGAGATCTTAAGCTCAGATGTGGACTTTGCCAACAGTTGGAAAGTAGATAGTGACACAGACCCTGAGTGCCATAATGTCAGGTGCACAGGTCTGGCTTGTGCCGTTTGCACCACTGATGAAACAAATCGTTACAGTGACACAAACCACTGTGGAATCCTTGGAGATGTTGCTGGTCCATTTGCCGCTTGCCATTCTGTTCTTGCGCCACAGACGTACATGGAGAACTGTGTCTATGACCTTTGTTTGGGAGAAGGGTACCAGCCAATTTTGTGCCAGGCTCTGAATGTGTATGCCACTCAGTGCCAACAACAGGGTGTACACCTTGGGCAGTGGAGGCAGCAAGGATTTTGTGGTAGGTCTCCTGCAGAGAATAATGATTTGAATAGAACAAATATCTGACTACATTGAAACATTTCAGGAGTTGATGCATATTCTCTATTTTCTTTCTCCATTTCCAGAAATTCAGTGCCCTGAACACAGTCATTTTGAGCCTCAAGGAACAGGCTGCCCAGCAACATGTAATAATCCATCCGCCCCAATGAACTGCCCCTTGCCAAATCAGGAAAGTTGTATCTGTGATCCTGGGTACATTCAAAGTGCTGGAGTGTGTGTGCCTCAAGCAAACTGTGGTTGTACGTTTGAGGGTTTTTATTACGCTGAAGGACAATCGGTAGTGTTGGACAGTGACTGTGGGAGACAATGTGTGTGCAGCAACATGTCAATGATCTGCCATCAGTATCAGTGTGGTCCAGGAGAGGTGTGTGAGGTCCATAATGGTGTCAGAGGCTGCAGACCAATTGGTTATGCTACCTGCTCAGTTGAAGATCTAGGATCATATCACACCTTTGACGGGCAAATTTTCAGATATGCTGGAGCATGTGGACTGACCCTAGCTAGAGTAATGGGGCAATGCTCTTTGCCACACTTTGTATTGACCGTGGAGAAAGTACCCAGAGGTTTTCAGAACTTTTCCAGGTTTTTGAAGTTCGAGGCAGGAGGAATCCAGGTCTCCATTGAAATGGGAGAGGGAAGCAATGTAAAGGTAATGCAAAACATTCGCATGTGAATCTTTGAGTATGAGAGCATTGCTGCATTATCTTTCAATCTATCTGCAACATGAAAAAGTCTCTTTATACTTTATCTCTTCAGGTGGATGGACAGATGGTTGGTTTGCCTGTCAGTGTTGGCTCTGGTCAAATCCGCATCTATCACAGCAGTGTGAGGGGTTTTGTTTTGGAAACAAACTTTGGGGTGACAGTGAGGGCCGACTGGCCACACATTGTCCGCATCACAGCGCCAAGCACCTACAATGGCACACTTGGAGGTCTGTGTGGAAACCTGAATGGAAATATCGCTGATGAGTTTTACACACCAGATGGCGTCCTTTTAAACGACACTCAACTGTTTGCGGGCAGTTGGCGTGATGGATCCCTGTCAGCCCATTGTGAGGAGCCATTCAACAGCTGGGAGCCAGGACATTTTCAGAGCAGGAGCCAGTTCAGTCAACAGTGTGGTATCATGGCTTTGCTTGATGGACCGTTCGCTGAGTGCAGCAGGACATTTAATCCTCAACAGCGAATTGCTGATTGTGTTCAGTTGCTGGAGCAAACACAAGGTGCCAAAGAGGCTCTATGTGAGGCTCTGCGAGGTTACACACTGCTTTGTCAACAGAATGGAGTTGCGGTAGAAGACTGGAGAAATGTCACCAACTGTGGTAAGCATATATTTTTAGGATGTGCTGACTAAAACTCGATTTCATGTAACTGTAAAGTAAATTTTTTCTGACATTGTATTTATGTTTGTTTTTTTAAATTCCAGAACCCATCTGTCCAAATAATACCCATTATGAAGTATGTGGCACCTCCTGTCCTGCATCCTGCCCCAGCCTCTCATTCCCATTCCAGTGCAGCTTGCAGTGCCAGGAGGGATGTCAGTGTAATGATGGAAATGTGTTAACTGGAGATCACTGTGTGCCCCCCATGGGTTGTGGTTGTCACTACTCTGGGAGGTATTATCAGGCTAGACAGAGATTCTGGCATGGTCAAGGGTGCCAGTTCTTGTGTGTTTGTGATGGAATTACTGGAAATGTCCAGTGCACACCAGCATCTTGCAGGGAAGAGGAAGTCTGCCAAGTGTTGGATGGCGAATATGGCTGCCATCCTCGTCCACAAGCACGTTGCTCTGCTTCCGGAGACCCTCATTACATGTCTTTTGATAGAACCTTCTTTGACTTCCAGGGCACATGCCGCTATGTGCTAGCCACAGTATGCAATGACACCATTGGTCTTCCACATTTCCAGGTGGATGCAAGGAATGAACCATGGCATGGACTCACAGTGGCAATTACAGTGGAAGTTTTTGTCAACGTCTCTGGGCATTTGGTACACATGTCACAGGATTTAAATGGTCATTCTGCTGTTGAGGTAATCATACATTGCTTTGTGTTGCCTAAAAGTTTCAAATATGTTTATATATGTCCTATGATTTAATACAGTGGTTCTCAGCCACTTTCCTGGAGGACCACCAGCACTGTGTGTATTGGATGTCTCCTTTGTCACACCCATTTCAGGTACTAATGAGCCCATAATCTAAACGAGGTGGACAATTTGCAGAGTTGGTGGTTCTCCAGGATCATGGCTGAGAATCACTGATCTACAACATATACTTTAGAGAAATTTCACTCGGGTATTAGTCTCTAGCCTATGCCCAGATGTGCATTACTGTATATTGTCAGGTGGAAAATTGCCTGCTTGACTTTGAATGTTTATTGACATTATTCTCTGTTCAATCAGGTTGATGGAGAGACCAGAAACCTCCCCGTTCTGCTTAATTCTGGTCGTGTATCTGTCTACTCCAGCGGACAGTACATATATGTATCTACTGACTTTGGCTTTGTTGTGAGTTATGGAGGCTCCTGGACACTGAACATCATCATACCAGCAGAGTACAGCGGTGTTACATGTGGCCTGTGTGGAAACTTTAACGGCCAGAGCAGCGATGACTTCATGACTCCTTCAGGTGATCTGGTGCGCTCAGCAGACCAGTTTGGGGCAAGTTGGAAGGTTGAAGATGGCCTGTCATGCAATGATGGCTGTGGAAACAATTGCCCATTGTGCCAAGATCAGACAACTGCCCGTTCACTGTGTGAAATCATCAGGTCCAGTGAAGGCCCATTTAGCTTCTGCCATGTTTCTGTAGACCCTCAAGCCTACTATGATGACTGTGTGTTTGATGTGTGTCTGTCTGGAAACCGTAATAATGTCCTGTGTCGCTCAATTCAAACCTACGCTAGTGCCTGTCAGGCAAACAATGCTGTCATCTACCCATGGAGAGAAAGTGCATCCTGTGGTGAGCAAGATCATTGTCTGCTAAATACAGTAGCTTATAGTGTGAAATAATGGTAAATATTTATGAGATGGGTAATATTTAAACATTTTTGCTACATTCCCAGCTATGGCCTGCTCAAATAACAGTCACTATGAGTTGTGTGGAACAGACTGTGGTCATACTTGTGCCAGCAGCATTGATGCTAGTTGTGATCACACATGCTCAGAGGGATGTTTCTGTAATGATGGATTGGCGAGGAGTGGAGGACAGTGTGTATCAGTGGAGCAATGCGGCTGCTCGTATGATGGATTCTACATTAACGTGAGGATTGAATTTGCGGTTTGATAAAGCTTCACTAGATCCCATAAAACATTAAAATGCGGAGTCTTGTATGAAGAGTATCACTTCTGTAACAACTCCTCTCAAGTGCTATCATCTTCTGTTCTCTAATCTTTGTTAATTGTTTTGTGATATGATTTTATAGGTTGGTGAGCGGTTCTGGAATCTAGAATGTTCACAAGTCTGTCAGTGTTTTGCTCCTAATGATCTGCGCTGCTCTGGTTACTTCTGCCCACCGACTATGGAGTGTACGGTCAGAAATGGACAACGTGGCTGTTACGGTCTGTTCATGTCTATAATGTTCCCCAAAACATTTCTCTTAGACTTTTACCAGCAAAATGGGTTGCTTTATCTACAAATAAATGTTCTTTTGTTTTGGTTAATGCGGCAGTTATCCATTCATATGAAGCATGAGTAGATGATTACTATTGCACTTACTAGAAATATCAGAATTGCCAAGCAATATTGTAAAACAAGCCTGTCATGTAATTTCTCTTTACAGAAGAGAGTACGACATACATAACCACAACCAGTTCAAGTCTTCCCACAGGTATATACATATATTTTTATGTAGATTTTCTTTTTAAACATTTTTAAATATTTGACAGGTGGTAAAATGTTACCTTAAGGGCCTATACATTTATGCAAAATATTATGTTTATTTGCATGGATTGTATAAATCTGACATTTGCAATTGTTCTTTTGACATAATCAGCTCATGATGACAGTGAAATGATATAACGTTACATGATTGCCATTAAAATGTTCCTTTCATCATTATAAACATTGTAAGCACGTGAACATTTTTATTGATTGATTGTTGTTGTTGATGTGTTGACTTGTATTAAGTGGTTAGCTTTGTTCAAGATTTTATATATATTTTCAAGACTTTTTATATATTTCTCAATTTAATGGTGCAAAAAAAAAAAAAACAGAATTTTTTTTTGTGAGCTATAGGGATTTCAAGGTGCTGTATGTAAGTTTTTGACTCTTCTAAAGCATAAAAAATCCATAATATGTTTTCAGATATTTAAAGGGCCATGACACCCCCCTCTTTCGGTTAAAGTCTACGTCAGATTTTTTTCAAAAGATGCATGATTAATGGGCGTGGAGCTCCGCGAGCATCGGGCAGGAGTGGGCGTGGCCAGCAGGGGAGAAGGGGAGCGAATAACTGCTGTTGTCAGTTAGCTCACAAAATGAGACACAAAGAGGAGACGCTTGAGTATATAGTTTACAAAGTTAAAATGCAAAGAAATGAACAGTGATTTAATGCCCTGCTACATTTGTTATTTGTAATTTCATATACAGACAACCACAATTTATATCATTATAAAGATAATCGTGTTCATGTAAACACTATAAATGAGGACTTCTCCTTCAATCCCCGTATCCAGCAGACTCAGTGCAGCAGGTCTCCTGACCCGTCTATTTTAACCATTAACCCTGCTGGTAATCTGGAGGATTTAGGCAAACACAGCAGCACGGCGATGTGTCTGAATGTGAACGAACTCCTGATAAAAGACAGCGTCCGCCATTCTCTAATTCTCGTGCTGCTTTCCCGACAAAAATGCTAGCAGCACACACACAGCTTTGCTGTATGATCGGCTCTGACAAGATCGCGGGGAAAAGCATGCAACAAACCCCTTGGATGATGGAAACAAACGCATATGAGCCTTCGTGAACGGCTAAATACTGTGCCGTGGTTTCCGTGTCTCTCAGCTCGGGCTTGACACTGGCAGGTCTGGCAGGTCTCATGAATAATTAAGCAGCCGGCTCTTCTCATAGGATAAGAAAACTCCGCTATGAATAATAATGAGAAACCGACGCGTCATCATTGCACTTGCAGTTCTGTGCTACGTCGCCGATTTTGATACCGCCACAAAAATCATTTTAAACCCGGAAGCTGAAATTAGCTGACAAAAGCTCAAAATTATCCAGTTTTCCCCACAATTAAAGCTGACAGGTGCTAACATTGTCTTAACTAATGCTCAACACACACACATCTGTTAATATAAAAAAAAAAGTTCTCCGGGGTGTCCTGAACCTTTAAGAAACATGCCAAGTAAACATTCTTGTTTATCTAAAAAACAATGCTGAAGTCAGTTATTCTGCTTTGAAAATGGGCGTTTTGTGCTGGATCGCTGTCTTTGTTTTGGTTCTTTTAACTCACTCAATGCCAGTTTAGCCAATTATTTTTCAGCACACTGGGTTGCCTTGTTGGAAAACCACATATTCATTCAGTCAGAAAGACTCTCAAAGCCTATGTCCATGACCAATTTGCGACCTCCAGTGGACAGTAGCAGACTCAGAAATGAGACACAGATTCAGAGTTCCACATGAGGTTATTAATTAGCAAATAATAAAAAAATTATGAACAAAAACATTAGGTGAGTAGGTTACATTGTAACCCTTTGTCCAACCAACATGCCAGGTGACAAGATTTGCAGTGATAAGCAATTTTGCTGTTTGCACCAGTCAAAACGCAGCAGAAATTTAAATACGGCCATTCAGGAGCACAGAATATGCACTCACTCATGAATTTATTATTATTAAGATTATAATCTAATTAATTCATATCAAACCTCTTTAACATTATTAAATGTACTAGCTGAATCACTGATATGTGTTGGTTTTGAGTCACAGTTTTAAAGTTCAGTTTAAAATGGTTTGTTTTATTTTCAAGATCTGAGGTGAAACTATCTGCTGCAGCTTTCAGTAGTATGGCAATACATGTCATGTAAAATGGCATTCAAACTTGCATTATTAGCATTTAACGCTGAATAAAGCACATGAGGTGCACCTAAGGTGATCATTGTGAGTTTTCTGTTGTTCAGCTCAAAACAATAGAAGCCATTTCTAATATTTCAATTCGAGGTGTTGGTTAGAACAAAAACTCCTTTGAATATGGAAAACATTTCTTCTGTTGCGTGCTGTTGCATTTATTTAGAACATGATTTAAATAAGCCTTTAGGCCTGAGACTCGCTCCTGTTTGTTGTCCACCTGGCAACCTGTGCTTGGGTTTGCAATGTAATACTTAGTTCAACCACTGGGTGTCAAACTTACATACTGCACCTATAAGCACTGGCCTGTAATGTTAAAAATCTCTCTTTTTTAACTCTTTCTTTTTAGGACAGAGCCCCATTAACATGACGACCACCAGGCCAATCCCCCCAGGTATGTTTGAACTCATTTGTAATTGGTTTTCAATATTTATTGAAAAAATAAATGGTTATTAAATAAATGCATGCAAACATTCATACAAGTTGCTAATATGGTTTCACTTTGATATGAATAAAAATTTCCACAGCTGTGTTTTATCCATTTGGTGATGGAGACACAGTGATTGCTCGTTCTGATGATGGCAGTTCATCTGTGATCTACCTTCTGCAACAGTTCATTTTTTTTGGACAACGATATAGTCGGATATATGTAAGTCAGTATACAAAGCAATCTTGTTCATTCAAACATGTTTTCAACCTTATACAGATTCCTTAACAGTCTTGTAGCCTGTAGATATTTCTAACCGTGATAATAATAACTTGCATTATTTTAAATAAGCTGTACATTATAAGTCATGTTAATCTGTTTCAGGTCAACAACAATGGAGACTTGACTTTTAATGGGCAGTTTGGCAGCTTTACGCCATACAGTTTCCCAGGTTATGGTGGAACAGACATCATTGCTCCATTCTGGACAGATTTGGACACCCGTGGGAATGGTGTGGTTTCATATCGTCAGTACACCAACAGCAGTGTGCTCACAGAGGCCACACAAGACATTAACCAATACTTCCCTGATCTGAGCTTCTCTGCTACTTGGGTCTTTGTAGCAACATGGGACAGAGTAGCATATTTTCCTCAATCAAGAACGGTAAAAATCCTGACTCGATTCCTGTCCTTGATTGATAACATATTGGAGAAATCGAAAAGAATGAACCAAAGAAAGAATAATTGTTATATATTCAATAACTCTTTCAATTAGCAACAAGAACTGTTTTAACTGGTATTGACCAGCACATTTATAATTGTATTTTTCAGGAAACATCTTTCCAAGTGGTTTTGATTTCAGATGGCCATTTCACATTTGTATTGATGAATTATGGAACAATTGCTCCAGCTCAACGTAATATACAGGTGTGCTTAACATGGCTACTAAAATAAAGATAGTTATAAGACTATGCAAATAAGATACTTAAAGTGTTTTATCATAATTATTACAGGCTGGTTATGACACCATCAACTCAAAATACCATTTCTCAATTCCTGGATCTTTCTCGAATAACTTCACAAACTTGACATACAGCAGCAATGTCAATGTGCCAGGCAGATGGGCCTTCAGAACAGATCATGGATCACGTGGTTGTCAGTTTAATGGTATGTTTTTTTGTTTGTTAGCCTGCTGTGCTCCTAGATTGGGGGTGTCCACATTTTGTCCTGGAGGGCCTCTTTCCTTCCCTTATTTATTACCCCTGCTAAAACACACTTGCACCTTTTATCCACAATTTTCTTTGTTGCTGGAAACTGGCAGGTATCCATCTGCAGAATAATTTACATTAAGAGAAGGATTAGACACTTCTGTCCTAAACTAAATAAATTCTTTGGTATTTTTAAATTGCTGTAACTTATATGTGAACTAAGAAATCTTAATAAAAATGTATTTATTTATTAATCATCCTGTAATTTCAAGTTTGAAGCCTTGTGAACTTATTTTCTAGGTAGTGCAGTGCAGCTTGGAGACTCTTTCTGGAGTGATGCCACCTGCCGGCAGAAATGCATTTGTACCAACAGTGGTCTTCAGTGTAGCCCGGAGCCATGCAGTTATTCCCAAGCCTGTCGTCCAGCAGCCTTCCAATACTCCTGCCAGAACATTCCACGTCAAACATGTACCGTCTCTGGTGATCCTCACTACTACACGTTTGACAATCAGGTTTTTCACTTTCAAGGGACCTGCACATACGTTCTATCTGAGGTTAGTCTTTCTCCATGGTTGGTGTTGCTAAACTTCCAGAGAGCCGCCATCCTGCAGATTACAGCTCCAACCCTACTTCAACAGACCTGACTATGGTTTTATAGTAGCCAATATTATTTTGATTGGCTGAGTCAGGTGTGTTCGATGGCGTTAGATTTGAACTCTCAGAAGCATGATTCTGAGAAGCTACATCTGCTCTATAGTGGCTTTCTGTTTATTGTGTAATAGCTGTGGATCTGCCAATAATCATTTAATCTTTGTTTAGGCTTGCGGTATTGGATTGCCATATTATCGCATTGAAGGCAAAAATGAGCATAGAGGTAGCACGCATGTGTCTTGGACACGGATGGTTAGAGTGTTTGTCTATGATGAAGTAATTGAACTGGTCAGAGGTCACAACTATGAAGCAAGGGTCAGTATAAGTATTTATTTTAATTCTCTCTCAATTGCTGGCTTTTATTCAATTTTCTAATTCATTGTTTTTCTAACGTTGTTCAGATTAATGGAAGCTTTGCAGCAACACCATTCTCCCTACACAATGGCTCCATCCAAGTCTATCAGTCAGGTTTTTCTTTGCTCATCAGCACAGACTTTGGTCTGCTTGTTACATATGATGCATACAGCTATGTCAGGATCTCTGTACCATATGACTATCAGAATGTCACCTGTGGTCTGTGTGGAAACTATAACCTGCAATCTGATGATGACTTCCGTTCACCCAGTGGGGAGATCTTGAGCTCAGATGTGGACTTTGCCAACAGTTGGAAAGTAGATAGTGACACAGACCCTGAGTGCCATAATGTCAGGTGCACAGGTCTGGCTTGCGCTGTTTGCACCACTGATGAAAGAAATCGTTACAGTGACACAAACCACTGTGGAATCCTTGGAGATGTTGCTGGTCCTTTTGCGGCTTGCCATTCTGTTCTTGCGCCACAGACGTACATGGAGAACTGTGTCTATGACCTTTGTTTGGGAGAAGGGTACCAGCCAATTTTGTGCCAGGCTCTCAATGTGTATGCCACTCAGTGCCAACAACAGGGTGTACACCTTGGGCAGTGGAGGCAGCAAGGATTTTGTGGTAGGTCTCCTGCAGAGAATAATGATTTGAATAGAACAAATATCTGACTACATTGAAACATTACAGGAGTTGATGCATATTCTCTATTTTCTTTCTTCATTCCCAGAAATTCAGTGCCCTGAACACAGTCATTTTGAGCCTCAAGGAACAGGCTGCCCAGCAACATGTAGTAATCCATCCGCCCCAATGAACTGCCCTTTGCCAAATCAGGAAAGTTGTATCTGTGATTATGGGTACATTCTCAGTGCTGGAGTGTGCGTGCCTCAAGCAAACTGTGGTTGTACGTTTGAGGGTTTTTATTACGCTGAAGGACAATCGGTAGTGTTGGACGGTGACTGTGGGAGACAATGTGTGTGCAGCAGCATGTCAATGATCTGCCATCAGTATCAGTGTGGTCCAGGAGAGGTGTGTGAGGTCCATAATGGTGTCAGAGGCTGCAGACCAATTGGTTATGCTACCTGCTCAGTTGAAGATCTAGGGTCATATCACACCTTTGACGGGCAAATTTTCAGATACGCTGGAGCATGTGGACTGACCCTAGCTAGGGTGATGGGGCAATGCTCTTTACCACACTTTGTATTGACCGTAGAGAAAGTACCCAGAGGTTTTCAAAACTTTTCCAGATTTTTGAAGTTCGAGGCAGGAGGAATCCAGGTCTCCATTGAAATGGGAGAAGGAAGCAATGTAAAGGTAATGCAACGTATTGACATGTAAATCTATGAGAATGAGAGCATTGCTGCATTCTGTTTCAATCTGTCTGCAACATGAAAAAGTTTCTTTATACTTTGTCTCTTCAGGTGGATGGACAGATGGTTGGTCTACCCGTCAGTGTTGGCTCTGGTCAAATCCGCATCTATCACAGCAGTGTGAGGGGTTTTGTTTTGGAAACAAACTTTGGGGTGACAGTGAGAGCCGACTGGCCACACATTGTCCGCATCACAGCACCAAGCACCTACAATGGCACACTTGGAGGACTTTGTGGAAACTTGAATGGAAATATTGCTGATGAGTTTTACACACCAGATGGCGTCCTTTTAAACGACACTCAACTGTTTGCGGGCAGTTGGCGTGATGGATCCCTATCAGCCCACTGTGAGGACCCGTTTGACAGCTGGGTGCCAGGACAGTTTCAGAGCAGGAGCCAGTTCAGTCAACAGTGTGGTATCATGGCTATGCTTGATGGACCGTTTGCTGAGTGCAGCAGGACATTTAATCCTCAACAGCGAATTGCTGATTGTGTTCAGTTGCTGGAGCAAACACAAGGTGCCAAAGAGGCTCTATGTGAGGCTCTGCGAGGTTACACACTGCTTTGTCAACAGAATAGAATTGCAGTAGAAGACTGGAGAAATGTCACCAACTGTGGTAAGCATATATTTTAAGGATGTGCTGACTAAAACTCGATTTCATGTAACTGTAAAGTTAATGTTTTCTGACATTGTATTTATGCTTTTTGTTTTTAAATAACAGAACCCACCTGTCCAGAAAATACCCATTATGAAGTATGTGGCACCTCCTGTCCTGCATCCTGCCCCAGCCTCTCATTTCCATTCCAGTGCAGCTTGCAGTGCCAGGAGGGTTGTCAGTGTAATGATGGAAATGTGTTGAATGGAGATCACTGTGTGCCCCCCATGGGTTGTGGTTGTCACTACTCTGGGAGGTATTATGAGGCTAGACAGAGATTCTGGCATGGTCAAGGGTGCCAGTTCTTGTGTGTTTGTGATGGAATTACTGGAAATGTCCAGTGCACACCATCATCTTGCAGGGAAGAGGAAGTCTGCCAAGTGTTGGATGGCGAATATGGCTGCCATCCTCGTCCACAAGCACGTTGCTCTGCTTCGGGAGACCCTCATTACATGTCTTTTGATAGAACCTTCTTTGACTTCCAGGGCACATGCCGCTATGTGCTAGCCACAGTATGCAATGACACCATTGGTCTTCCACATTTCCAGGTGGATGCAAGGAATGAACCATGGCATGGACTCACAGTGGCAATTACAGTGGAAGTTTTTGTCAACGTCTCTGGGCATTTGGTGCACATGTCACAGGATTTAAATGGTCATTCTGCTGTTGAGGTAATCATACATTGCTTTGTGTTGCCTAAAAGTTTAAAATATGTTTATATATGTCCTATGATTTACAACAGTGGTTCTCAGCCACTTTCCTGGAGGACCACCAGCACTGTGTGTATTGGATGTCTCCTTTGTCACACCCATTTCAGGTACTAATGAGCCCATAATCTGAACGAGGTGGACAATTTGCAGAGTTGGTGGTTCTCCAGGATCATGGCTGAGAATCACTGATCTACAACATATACTTTAGAGAAATTTCACTCGGGTATTAGTCTCTAGCCTATGCTTAGACCTGCATTATTGTATATTGTCAGGTGGAAAATTGCCTGCTTGACTTTAAATGTTTATTGACATTATTCTCTGTTCAATCAGGTTGATGGAGAGACCAGAAACCTCCCCATTCTGCTTAATTCTGGTGGTTTATCTGTCTACTCTAGCGGACAGTACATATATGTATCTACTGACTTTGGATTCATTGTGAGTTATGGAGGCTCCTGGACACTGAACATCATCATACCAGCAGAGTACAGCGGTGTTACATGTGGCCTGTGTGGAAACTTTAACGGCCAGAGCAGCGATGACTTCATGACTCCTTCAGGTGATCTGGTGCGCTCAGCAGACCAGTTTGGGGCAAGTTGGAAGATTGAAGATGGCCTGCCATGCAATGATGGCTGTGGAAACAATTGCCCATTGTGCCAAGATCAGACAACTGCCCGTTCACTGTGTGAAATCATCAGGTCCAATGAAGGCCCATTTAGCTTCTGCCATGTTTCTGTAGACCCTCAAGCCTACTATGATGACTGTGTGTTTGATGTGTGTCTTTCTGGAAACCGTAATAATGTCCTGTGTCGCTCAATTCAAACCTACGCTAGTGCCTGTCAGGCTAACAATGCTGTCATCTACCCATGGAGAGAAAGTGCATCCTGTGGTGAGCAAGATCATTGTCTGCTATTTATCTTATTTTGTGAACAAATGGTTTATATTTATGATATGCTTGATTTTAAATATATAGATGATAGATGATTTTTCTACATTTTCAGCAATGTCCTGCTCAAATAACAGCCACTATGAGTTGTGCGGAACAGACTGTGGTCATACATGTGCCAGCAGCATTGATGCTAGTTGTGATCACACATGCTCAGAGGGATGTTTCTGTAATGATGGATTGGTGAGAAGTGGAGGACAGTGTGTATCAGTGGAGCAATGCGGCTGCTTGTATGATGGATTCTACATTAACGTGAGTATTAATACTAACTTTTGACAAATATCAGGAAATTCAACAATATTTAATTGATTACTCCTAAAACTCCACAAATAGATTCAAATCCTGTACACTGCAAATGTGAAATTATAGTTTTGTGATTTGATTTCATAGGTTGGCGAGCAGTTCTGGGATCTAGAATGTTCCCAAGTCTGTGAGTGTTTTGCTCCAAATGATCTGCGATGCTCTGCTTACTTCTGCTCAGCAAATATGGAGTGTACGGTCAGAAATGGACACCGTGGCTGCTTTGGTGAGTACACATATGAAAATGTTTGTCTTCAAATGGCAAAGACACAATGTTGTGAAATTCTTTTCTGGAGACAGTGAATAAAAAAAGAGACACAAAGTAAATGACTTGCAGAGCACTCTGTAAGCATGTCAGATGTTTTTAATGAAACATAAGTATAATGTAGGTTTATTCTTTACAGATGATAGCACCACATACCTGACCACCACTAGTGCAAACCTTCCTGAAGGTATTTTCATATACTTTTGGTTTGATATGATTTGTTAAATAGTTTACAACACAATTGAAAAAAAAGATATATTTTTTGTAGAGTGAATAATAAAGTTGCTTTTAGAATCAATGCTGCATAATCAAAAGAAGACAATTACTATTGCCTAGTATAGGCATGTATTCAGATATAGCAGTTAACATTAAAAAAATATAATTTTTTTTTTGCTTGGCTGAAGAGAGCACTACAGACATGACAACCACCACCACAAGCCTTCCCTCAGGTATGTGTAATGCAATTTGAGGAATAAAATGCATTGAGTCATAATTTATTCAATGTTCAGATTTTTCCTTGTTTATTTTTAGTTATTGCGTCTACTGAAGCCCTCTATCCATATAATGTACACTTTCTCAATACTACCACTTATAAAAGCCAGGTGCAAAACTAAAGTACACAGCCCATATTAACAGAACATAAATGATTCACAATCAGAGGATCTTAGAAAACAAATTAAGGCTACAAGCACAGGATGAACTCTTCATGCCTATGATGCATTATAAACCATCTTCCTGCCTTTTTATTATACTTTTTTTTTTACTCAAATATTTTACAGTTTTATATTATATATATATATATATATATATATATATATATATATATATATATATATATATATATATATATATAATAAATATTTTATTATGAACTGTAATAAGTTCATTATAAAATGTTAAAATGATGCTACATCATTATTTAAATGTTATTTTTAATTATTATCCAGGCAAATGTAATGTAATATGGTTTGGTATATTCAACTTCAGCCCACAGTCCTTGATAAAGTTTGGTTTTTGGCTCCTTATAAAAAAGGTTTGGGCATCCCCATATATATATATATAAAGCACTTTTAGAAGGAAAGTTTCAGTATAAAACAATTAATGTCGCATCACCAGGCTCAACAGCGTTTTCTCCAATGTTTCATCTAATTTCGTATATTTCATTTTTTAATCCTCTGACATTTGCTTTAATGGAATTTTATGCCGCATAGCGAATGGAAAGAAAAACCTCCGCATTTCATGACTCTGTGGTCCTTTAAGATAATCAAAAATTTACATCTTTACATGGTAGACCCTTAAAAAGAGTATTATCTTAACATATTAAAAGTGGAGTATTTGTGTCCATGTAAATGTAACAACTCAGTGAAAGTCAGATGTTGTCGCAAGCTGTCAAAGACAGCGCATTTTGTTGTGTTTTTCCCCCTTAAACTTAAACTTTTGTAAAGCGTCTACTTCACGTTGTTGTGTCAGAACCCTTGTGAAATATAGTCATACTTAAGAATGCTTAGTTTAAGCAAATTTGAACGTGATAATCAACAACAAAATTAGGCACTGAAATGCATATGCTGATTCAGTGATCCTGCTTGTGATCTGTTTTCACTCTCAGCTCACATTATTCAAAAGGAAAGGTCCACATTGTCCCCCAATAATGTCAACAGACTGGACTGTCTTAGCAACTGGCTGAATGTAAAGGAGGACTAAGCAAAATTGTTTCTACTTTATTGTATGAGTACAATTGTTTGTATTCAATACTTTATTACTATTATTACTAGTATGTTGTTTACATGAAGAAATCTGTGTTACAAGTTCTAAAAATTCTAATAAACCAATATATTTTCTTGCCTTTACATTATTTGACATTTGAATAGCCAAAATTACAAGTTTCAGTCTTTTAAATGTGATTAATTGGGATTTTTGCCTATTATGTCATGAATATACCCCTGTAATGCATACAGTCCTTTTTTGTCTGGCTTTCTTGGATATCTCATCTGTTCGGCAAAAATGACTTATTATATCCCTGGGAATGTCTGACACCGGTGCATACACATTGTGATAGACATTGCAGGCACGAAAGCTTGACAGGCGTAGCAACAGTAGCTAAGGAGGGCGGGGCTTAGCGAAGGGTCAATTGGGATGTCATATTAATTAACCCTGTAAAAGCAGTGCAATCACTACTAGACTGATGTTGTGTTAGTGATAAGGAAAAACGCTAAACACATGCACTTTGCTTCTTTCTTTCTGCCAACTCAACACACATTCCTGATATGCGAGCAAATTGGTATATACATAGTACAGCACTACAACATACAAAAGAGAGAGATCATCTTACCTGCCAACATGTTTCTGAAAATCAGAGAGACCGGTGGGAGGGGATGTTCGGGGGTGAGGTCTCTGAATAGTGATAAACACTGTCGAGAACCGGTATAGGATACAGTGGGTTATGGGCGGCCGCTGCGATCGGGTACTGTATCAAAGTTGGCAACACGGACTGTACCAAAGAGGGGGGTGGGTGAAATTAGGGGAGTTTAACGGAAGAAATAAAAAAACAGGATGGTTGCGGGAGATTAATCTGAAATACGGGATACTCCCAGGAAAAACAGGAATGTTGGAAGGAATGCTTACCAGTTTAATAATGATTTGATCTGCTATTAGAAATCAGACAATGATAAGCTTCTAAGCGTTAGGGCTTATTATGCGAGGTTGTCAACATCTTGTGGATAGAAAACTTCAACCGTCTTTGATCTAAACTACGGCAGGCTAATGGCTATCGACGAGCTCTCTCAGAAATTGTAAATATTTTAAAATAGGCACTATTCTTACAAATAAACTGCATAGTTGCAATCTAAACTACTACATTCATGACAAAAAAAAAAAATCCTCAAAAGTACATTTTGTTGTCTAACAGCAGTAATATTTGTCAGAATGTAGTGTTTCTCTGCATGTTGCTGGCTGCATGTGGGCGGAGTAATACACAAAGGGTAAAGAGGCTGTACGGGTGCTGATATTACTTAAATATCTCATGGCTATCAGCCAATCAGATTCGAGAACCAGACAGAACTGTTGTGTGTGTGTGTGTGTGTGTGTGTGTGTGTGTGTGTGTGTGTGTGTGTGTGTGTGTGTGTGTGTGTGTGTGTGTGTGTATATATGTATATATATATATATATATATATATATATATATATATATATATATATATGTATATATATATATATATATATATATATATATATATATATATATATATATATATATATAGTACATGTTTTGTTTAATGTAACAGAGGAGTATATTCAGATTTGGAAAGTAACATAGAAAATATAAGCTTTTTGTTTATTTTTATTTTTTTGCTTGACAGAAGAGAGCACCACAGACATGATCACCACCACAAGCCTTTCCTCAGGTATTTTTAATACATTTTGAGGAAAAATACACATTGAATCATAATTTATTATGATAAATAATTATTAAATAAATGATTCAAACTCAGAGGATCTTAGAAACCAAATCAAGACAAAAAACACTGGATGAACTCTTTATATGCATATGCATATGATGCATCAACAAGTTGAAACCATCTTCCTGGTTTTTTAATATATATTATAATATATTACAGCTACCCTCACAACCAGTAATTTAGTGTTTAATATTGTTGTTTAGTGTGTCATTCGCAATGCTTTATAATAATAGTTTTTTTGTTTTCTTTTTTTCAAAATATAAGATACATATACACTGCTTGTTTTGCCTTATAAATTTAAGGCGGCTAAAGAAGTTTTGAACTTTTTTTTTGTTGTTAATTTGGAGATTTTAGTGTATTTATACTATGATATGTAAGCATGTCAGATGTGTTTATTGAAACAAGTATAATGTATGCTTATTCTTTACAGATGATACCACCACATACCTGACCATCACCAGCGCAAACCTTCCTGAAGGTATTTTAATATGCTTTTGGTTTTGGTGTGATTTGTCTCAAAGGTTTACAACACAATAGAAAAAAATATATAGGATTATATAGAATAAGAAAGTTACTTTCAGAATCATTGCTGCATAACAAAATTTTTAGGCGTGTATTAAGATTTGGCAAGTAACATGGAAAAAATATTAACTTTCAAATTTTTTTTTTGCTTGACAGAAGAGAGCACCACAGACATGATCACCACCACAAGCCTTTCCTCAGGTATTTGTAATGCAATTTGAGGAAAAAAATATGCATTAAGTCAATTTATTCAATGTTCAGATTTTTCCTTTTTTTTTGTTATTACGTCTACTGAAGCCCTCTATAATGTACACTTTCTTAATACAACCACTTACAAAAGCCAGGTACACAGTCCATAATAGCAGAAATTAATGACTTGCAATCAGAGGATCTTAGAAAACAAATCAAGGCAAACAGCTCAGGATGAACTCTTTATGCCAATGATGCATTATAAAGTCGAAGCCATCTTTCTGCTTCTTCAATGTTTTATTTATTTTTTACTCAAATATATTACCGTTATACCTACAACCCGTAATTGTTTAATATTGTCATTTAGTATGTAATTCGCAATTCTTTATAATATTTGTCTTTTGTTTTCCTCTTTTTTTTTTCAAGATGCATACATGTATACAGTATTTGTTTTGCTTTTAAAATCCATTTTTCACAAAGGCAGCTAGCTACATTTTTTACTGTATTTTTGTCTTCACAGAAGAGAGCACTACATTTATATAAACTCCACTCTATGAACTCCACTTTATAATTATTTTTTTTATTTATATATAAAGGTGTTGCTGCCTTGTCCCTTAGTGTCCCTGTTGTGTTTGCGATAAGGAAAAATGCTAAACACATGCGGGTATTTCTTTCTTTCTTTCTGCCAACACAACACACATTCCTGATATGCCAGTCCCATTTCACCGTCAATACACTACATTTATATGGTATAAATACAGCACTACAACATAACACATTTCTTCCTTTAGGGGCTTATTATGTGGTCTCTGTTGCCATAAAGACAGGCTAATGGCCGCTGATGATATATAAAAATTTATGTATAATTTTCTTTTCCCTTTTTAATTTTCTTAAAATGTCTTTTTGTTAGTTTGGAGATTTTAGTATATATATATATATATATATATATATATATATATAAATATATATAAATATATATATAAATATATATGTGTGTAATTGCTATGATATGTAAGCATGTCAAATGTTGTGTTTAGTGAAAGATAAGTATAATGTATGTTTATTCTTTACAGATGATAGCACCACATACCTGACCTCCACTACAGCAAACCTTCCTGAAGGTATTTTCGTATACTTTTGATTTGATATAATTTGTCTTAAAGGTGGTTGGCTTGGTTAACCGCACAATAGAAAAAAAAACAAAAACATAATTCTTATAGAGTGAATAAGTGAATACTTTTAGAGTCAATGCTGCATAAAAATGAAGGCAGTTGCTTTTGCCTTATATAGTCGTGTATTCAGTGTTAGCAAGTAACATGGACTTTAAAAAAATAGAAAATTAAGTTGTCATGTGGTTCCTCCTTTAGCTGAAGAAGATCACTGTTCTGAGTTCAACTGCACTGAGAATGAACATTGTGAAAAGAAACATGGTGTTTATGGCTGTTCCTGCAAGAAGAACCATCACAGATCTCATCCTTCAGCAGCAGACTCCTTTGGTCAGACTCATTCCACAAAAACATTTCAAATACAGTACATATACACTCTAGGTTATATTTTGGTTTCTGGTCATCGCTGACATTCTCTTGGATGTGTTCTCTCTCAGACTTCACTGAAACCTGTGAAAACAGCCATGGCTCCTTATCACTGTCTCGCTGTCAGCTTTTTGATGCTGGCTTTCCTTCGGAGATCTTGCACCTCAATGATGCCAACTGCAAAGGAACAGTTCGAGATGGCCAAGTGAAGTTTTACTTTGACAACAATGAACACGTCTGTGGCACAAGTCTAACGGTAGGATTCATAATGGATGATAGTACTCAACAACGAATGCTTTTCAGTTCTTTTTACAATTCATTACAAAGTCCCTGCAGTTACAAATTTTCAATTAACATGTCCCTACAGGCCAATGGCACGCACATCATCTATGAGAACTTTATTAAGGGAGAACCAAACACAACTGGACTTCTCGTTAGCAGAGCAAAAGCCCTGAAGCTTTCTTTCAGCTGTGTTTATTTGCAAACACAAACACTCTCCATGGACATCAACCCTCTTGAGAGGTGGGACTCATACACTTCAGCAAAATTTTAATCAGGGTTAAAAAATGCTGGGTTAAAAACAACTTTGGTACCATCGTAAATGTTCGGGCAAACTTTAAAGTTTATCAGACACATACGACCTATTCCCAATTTGATGTTGTCCGATTTTGTTGAGCCTAATTCTAGCCTCAGTTAACTGTTCTCAGCAGTCACAGATGTGCTGTTTTGTTGCTGCAGTTCATCCTGTTCACAGCTTCATGTGTTACATGTTCAGAAATGCTCTTCTGCAGACCTCACTGGATTTTTGTTGTTGTTTGGAACAATCTTTGTAAACTCTATAAATTGAACATGAAATCCCTTTAGATCAGCAGTTTCTGAAATACTCAGGCCAGTTCAACTGGGAATACTCTTTGTTAATGCACATTTTGAAGTACTGCATGACAAAACAAGTGATGGAAATGTCACATATTGAATACAAATCGCCTCATTAATAAAAGGTTTTGGACATGGTTAAGTGTGAATAATAAGAGATGGAAGTGCATTTTCTGTATAAACTTGGATATAGCAAACATAACACATACTTGTTTAATTAGATGTCTGCGCTATTGATTATTGATTATTATAGGTAACAAATACTACAATCAGCTGCTCTAATAACTTAATGTAAACAGTGTTGCCAACTATTTCCAATGAAAAGTAGCTAAAGCCTGCCCAAAAAGTAGCTAATTTTTGCCAAATGACGTTACGCACTAATTTACACATAGGTGAGTCATCACATAGTATCTGACAAGTCCGTTATGTCTCTACTTTCTGAGGCGCTGTGTATTCTATTATATTAAAACATTACATCCAGATGCACAATAAATAGGTTCTTATTAGCATATTACTTTGTGTGAGGATGTTATTGTGTATTCCTAACTCAAAACTACATCTTTATGTAGTATACAAAATAATTAATGTTTTTTTTAAATTGACTGGCCCTCTCAGCAAAAACATTATATGAAATGCGTTCATTTAGATTTGTATGAAAATAGAGTTGACTATTTGTAAAAGTACTACAAACACTTTTTGATACTTTATTTTTTTTTTTGTAAATATAACACTGATAATGAACAGTTACAATATTTTAAACAATCACAGCTTGTGTACTTACTCTTTTTAACTTGAGATATTAACACATTTGTAAAAGTGACAACAATTATAGCACTATTGGAATTTATTGCTACCTAAATTACCAACATGTTAACAAATATCAGTAAATTAACAGTTATGAAAAACAAATGAGCTAGCAATTTACTCTGCTGAGTGAAACCTGCAGCCACTGCTCTTGAGTAACTTTTTAAAAATTGCTAAAATTAGCCAGATGAATGTTAAAGGGCCATGAAACCCCCCTGTCTCAGCAGGGTGTTTTCACACCTCTAGTTTGGAAAAAGTCAGTAAGGTGGGTGTGTCTAGCTCTGTTTAGGTGGGAGTGTTGGGGGAGGGAAAGAGGGAAGAATTTGAAAAAAAAATAAGAGATTCCATTTGGGCACATGCTGATTTTCACCGAGCCGAAACAAACACACATACGCAGAGGAGAAAGAACTCAGTAGGTCAGAAAGCCATGTATGTGTAGACTATCCTGTCATAAAATGCGGAGAAAAAAACAACACGGCAGTCGGAAATAGTTTGATTGTGGTGTATACATGTTTACACTCGGAGTGCAGCATTTACAACAAATCTTTCAGTCGATAATATTGTAGTGATATTAACGTACTGTAAACTAAGTAACTCAAAAATCATTTTGACTAAGGTATGTCTTTAAACGCTGAAAGAATACTGCTGACAATACGAAATAACTTCGCCATCTGAATAAACAAACAAAGAGCACTGATCGCGTACTTCCCAAATCTGTAGAGACAGGACAACCAACTTTAACTGCAACCGTGTCATTATTAAAAGGAGACGAGCAGCAAATCGGGATTTCACCATTTCCAGATGCGAAAAGCTCTCGAGTAAAAAATGTTCCGTAAAAAGTATTTCTGTCGCAAGCTCTGTATTCCACACGTGAGTCCACCTGCGCTCTCATAGCGGGAAAATGAAAACAAAACCTTAGTTTCAGCACATTTAAAAACGCAACACTGACGACCCGTATCTCCAAACAGTTCTTCGTCTTCCACTTGTTTTGGCAACACAATGTGGCCGTCTGAACACTGTACAAACTGTCTTCGAAGCTATCATGCATATTAATGAAGTTGCACTGCATACACAATAGAGCGCGCTGATTGGTTTGAATTGCTTTTTCATGATAGAGTGCTGCACACTCAGAGACGTTACAAAGTACTCCCAGGTACAGATAGCCAGCGTGGAATACACCCAAGTATCTAATCGACGTGATACAGTTTCAAATATTTGTTTCAAACCGGAAGAACGAATTTGCTCGAAGTAACACAAAAACAACCAGTTTTTACTTCTTTTTGTGAAATATCTGTGTTGAAATAGTGTTTATAGCAAGATGGGACACATTTTTGAATGTCAACAGCTCTAAAAATGTGTTTTGGACTTTCGTGACCCTTTAAAATTTGCTAAATTTGTTGCTAGGTGCTTTTTGAAAAAAAAAAAAAGCTGCCAGGGTAGTTTGTAAAGTTGCTAAATTTAGCTACAAAATTGCTTAGTTGGCAACACAGGATGGAAATGCACCTAAATGTACTTTTTTTTTTGCAAAAAAACAACAACTTTAAAGTCACTCTATCACTGTTCTTCTTCATTCTGTTGCTTCTTTCGGCCTTCAGTAGACCATCTTGACTATTGGTCACGTCTGCATGCCTACATATTGAGTTGCTTCAATGTGATTGGCTGATTAGATATTTACATTGATAAACAGCTGTACGTATAATAAATGACATAAACATGGACAGGCAATGTGGTGTCAGTATCCACATTTCTAATTCAGACTGATTATAAATGATTATCAATCTAGGCTGTCTCAACCCAGCATTATTTTGGAGTGTGATTAATTATTTGAACTATTAATGTCTTGTCCTAATTTGTAGTTTACTCATATCTTGTGTAACATCTTCAACAGCAAAGTGCATAAGACCCTTCCTGTTGGTCAAGGTACATATCGAGTTCGAATGATTCCATACCAGGATGCAGAGTTCATCCACCCCTTCGATGGTATAGTGGCTGCGGAGGTGAGCAAACGCATTTTTGTGGAGGTTCGCGTTGATGGTGTTGACGACAATCAGTTTGCCTCAGTGATGGACACATGCTGGGCTACACCTGTGAACGATCCTCACGATTCTCTCCGCTGGGACCTCATCGTTGACAGGCAAGTAATTGTGGTAACACTTCACGATATCAGTACATGAATAATTTCACTTCATCATGAACTATGGATATGTTAACGCATGCAATAACTAAGGTGAACTACAACATGAGTCAATTAGGTCATGTGTGAATAATGGCTACTTTAGTTACTTGTTGGTACATGTTTGTTAATTAACGTACTTCAGTGTCCAACACTGGTTGTGGATGAGAAGATTCCCCCCACTGTGTAAAGCACTTTGAGTGTCTAGAAAAGCGCTATATAAATGTAAGAAATTATTATTATTTTACCTAAATATAACCAATATGGACTCTTGACCTGTTAATGTATCTTTGTCATCACTTTACTTGGAGGGGCACATTAATTCATAAGTAGTGAAGAATGAAGTACTGATAATGCGCCACTCTAAGTAAAGTGATGACATAAGGATACATTAATAGGTCATGTGTTCATGTTTGTTTCATTTAGCTAAACCAGAGTTAATCAGTACATTAATTGACGAACACATAACCGTTTATTAGTCATTATTCTCACATGAACCCATGACACTCATGTTGTAGTTAAAGTTCATGATTAGTGCATTCCTTTTTCATTATTCATAATAAAGTAATATTTAGTTTACATATTAGCACATCATTATTCATATACTGTTATTGTAAAGTGTTAACGTTAAGGTTTTTATTTCTTCCTTCACTCTAATGATTCATAGAAAAGATACCATTTGTGACATCTAGAATGACTTGAATTTATTTAACTGCCATCATCATTTAAACTGAAATCAGAAAATTCTAATCTTTCTTATACTTTTGTAAAATGCTCAGGTGTCCCAATCCAAATGACGACACAGTGGAGCTGGTGGAGAATGGCAATTCCACGGTCAGCCGTTTCTCATTTGAGATGTTTATCTTCACTGCAAACTCCACAAAGGTTTACCTGCACTGCGCTATTCACCTTTGCCTTCTGACAGACAATCACTGCTCAGTGGTGAGTTTAAGTTATGCAATGTTTTAGTGTTTGTCTGTATTGTTTGTATTGATTTCAGAGGTTTTATTTTCATAAAATGGGTATTTTGTTTACATAATTAACTGATTATTGTGTCCATGTTGTCTTTTTGTGTAAAAATTCCAAATGTAACTGAATACTTTAGTCCAGGGGTGTCCAAACTCGGTCCTGGAGGGCCTGTGTCCTGCATAGATCAGCTCCAACTTCCTTAAACACACCTCCTGGAAGTTTCTAGTGTACCTAGAGGTTGATTAGCTGGTTCAGGAATGTTTAATTGGGGTTGGAACTAATATATGCAGGACACCGGCCCTCCAGGACTGAGTTTGAACACCCCTGCTTTAGTCAGTCTGAATATTGTAAACAGAATATTGTTCACCAAGAAAATGTAATCATGTGTAAAACACTATAATATATACAATATATAATATAATATATGTATGCATATATATGTATGTATATATATATATATATATATATATATATATATATATATATATATATATATGTATGTATGTATGTATGTATGTATGTATGTATGTATGTATGTATGTATGTATGTATGTATGTATGTATGTATGTATGCATGTATATATATGTGTGTTTGTGTGTGTGTGTGTATATATGTATGTATATATATATATATATACATACAAAAAGCATTTCTGGATTGGGCTACAATATTATGTATAATAAATAAATTGAATTAAATTAAAAATGCTTTTGTATGGGTTTAAGATGTTGATTAAGAGCAGGCATGTTAACAAAATAAGTGTTAATAAATCTTTATATGCACTTATCAGTACAAAGTCTAGAAGACACCAGCTTTTTGAGTGATGTCTTAATGAAACTGATTGGCCATTGCTTTTATATAGGCAAGAGAAACACGTGATTTATAATGCATAAAATGTTAAATATTATATTTTAAAGCCACAAATTTCGTCATTGCAAAATTCCTAAAGCCATAAATGCTTTGTTTAATTGTGCACAGCCATTATGGCTCTTATCTTATATTAGTAGGGCAATTGTGTTCATTTTGGTGGACATTTTTGCCATACGCCCAAGATAATTCTAACCCTGAATGAAAAGCACACAATTATTTATTTATCTATCCATTTAAAGCGTGCTGTTAGCTTTTCAGTTGTATTTTTTTTATTTGTTTGTTTGTTTTACAAAATCTACCAATAGGGGTTGATGAAACCACGCCGATCAGCAAAACCTTGACATTTTGCTTAAGTTATCTCTGTAATAATAACCAACTCACACAACTTTCTTGTCTTGTTTGTTCTTGTTGTTTTAGAACTGTGACTCTGAACACCACAGGAGAGAAGAAAGATCTGCGGATATTCATGACAGTGCTCACATATCACTGGGTCCATTTATCTGGTCTGAAAATGACAAAGGTGACTTATAAAAGATAAAGATTATTTTAATAAGGAATATCAAATTAGGTACAGTGTTGTAGATTAATCATGCATTAAACATTGCTTAACTTTAATATAAATATGTCATTAAATGACTGCTGTGTTATATCTTTTCACAGATTTGCTGGTGCCACGCCAAGTGCTAGGCAGAGCTCCGTATCTGAGTGTTTCTCTTACTGTATTGCTTATTTCTCTGTTGTGTTTGCTGATATTCTTCTAGAATATTTCCACTAAGGAACTTTACATGTTGAATCTAAACTTTTTATCTCTTTCTTAATGAATGTTGCACTAATTCCACACCATTACATACTTTTTATGTAGGACTTTTGGGTGTTTATCTAGAAAATGATTAGTTAATTTAAAGATTTTTACATTTTCAAAATTGTATCTATCAGATTGTTCAGATTCTGTAAGTCTATGTACAATAAAGCAAAAAATAATGAGATTATGCAAATCACACAAAAATGGTGAAGTATTTATTGGTCAAAGCTGTTTTGCTGCGTTTTTCTTCTGTTGTATGTATACTAGTGAAATAGAAATAAGCATTTTTTTCACATGACTTCTGTAAATAACAAAATAATTATTAGAATAACTTTTTTTTTCTTCATTCTTTTTTTATATTTGAAGAGCATAACATACAACACGACATACAATAAATAGATGAATTTAGAAAATATTAAAACATGGATTTTAATACACATTTGTTAATTAATAGTGATGTACATCTCCTGTATTGTTAGTTTTTAGGTTTTGTTTTAAACTTTTGCCAGATTTTTCTTCATTTTTCTTCAGTTTGTTCTGTATAAGCATCTGTTCAGTCAGAATTATTAGGCTCTCTGAATTAAACCCCCCATGTTTATTATTTTTTCCCCAATTTCTGTTTTACGGAGAGAATATTTTTTTCAGCACATTGCTAAACATAATAGTTTTCATAACTCATTTCTTATAACTGATTTATTTTATCTTTGCCATAATTACACTACTAATATTTTACTAGATATTTTTAAGACACTTCTATACAGCTTAAAGTGACATTTAAAGGCTTAACTAGGTGAACTAGACAGGTTAGGGTTATTAGGCAAGTTATTGTATAATGATGGTTTGTTCTATAGACTACCAAAAAAAAAAAAAAAGCTTAAAGGGTCACGAAACACCAAAACACATTTTTTGAGCTGTTGACAGCCGTATAGCGTGTCCCACATTGCTAAAAACACTATTATGACACATATATCTCACTAAAAAGTGAAATTTGGTTGTTTTTCCATTATTACGAGCAAATTCGTACTTCCGGTTTGAAACAAATTTTTGAAGCTGCGTCACGGCCATGAGATCTTAGCGTGTATTCCAGCGTGTAGACTAGACGTCTTTACCTGGGTGTCCTGTATTGCGTCTCTGAGTGTGTTGCATTCATTCATGAGTAAGGCTTGGTTCAAACCAATCAGCGCGCGCCGTTATGTGTGTGCTGCAACTTCATTAATATGCATGCTAGCTTTCTTAGACTGTACCTGAAACAGTGTTCAGACAGGAGAGAGACAACACACGTTGTTGCCAAAAGTTGTGGGAAAAGAATAATAATTGTTTAGAAATACGGGTCGCCAGTGTTGCTTTCGTAATGTGGAGGTTTTGTTTCATTTTCTATCTATGAGAGCGCTGCTGAACTCACGTGTGGATCCGTGTAAGCGACGCGCGGCAGAAATGTGTTTGTTTGAAACTTTTTTTTACTCAAGAGCATTTCTCATCTATAGTGAGATCCGGATTTGCTCCTCGTCTCCTTTAAAAAAAGACGCAGCCCCAGTATGTGTTGATTATCCTGTCTACAGATTTGGTAAGTGTGTGCAATCAGTGCCCTTTCTTTGTTCATTCAGATGGCAAAGTTATAGTTCGTGTGGTCAGCAGTATTCTGTTTAAAGACAGACCTTAGACAGAAGTTACTTAGTTTACAGTACGTTGATATCACTACAATATTGAAAGATCTCCTGTAAATGCTGCTCTTTGTGTGTAAACACGTGAACACTGTAAGCAAATTTTGCAGACCGTCGTGTTAAATTTTCGCCGCATTTTGTGACAGGAAAAGTGCATCTGAGTTGCAGAAAAATGCAAAGTCTTTTTTCTCCTGTACGACGTGCGGTATCAAACATTTTACTGTCATTAAACACACTAGCCGTGTTTCCACTATCGCGCCTAAAGCTAGCAAGCCAGGGCGAGCCAAGGCCAGTGGGGTTTCCACTGTCACTTCCGAGACCTAATCGGGCCAAATCGGGGCTTTCTTGGGGCCAGCGGCCAGCCTTTTTTACACAACCTTTTTCGGCCCGCCGAATACCTTGAGCCAAAGAGGGCCAGCTGGGGCTTCGGGGCGGAGTGAAAGGAGAGGCGGGCAGTTTTCTGATCGCACATAAGTACATGCGCCAAACAAATAAAGAAATAAGGGAAAGAAAACATCTGGCCTTATAGTCTGGGGTCTTTTTGCGTATGATCACCCTTATGTTTCCCTTTTAAATCTAAGGCTGTTGCATAAAATAATAAAGTAGTTTTAATTTATAGTGACGTTTTTTGCTGCGTCCTCCATTATGTTTCAATAACGCATAAATATCTTTACACCATATTAAAGACACAGCAGACAGTAAAGGTTTTCGAGAGTTTTTGTCAAGTTTAAAATGTTTGTTTGTGCACGTTTAGATGCCTGTATATGTGTGTGAGACCGGGCAAAAGCGCTCCTTCACAGCTCTGTTGATGCCGCGAGCGGCTTTTTTCTTTATTTATTTTGGAGATAATACACATTATAAATACAACAGAAAGACATAAAACTTAACAAGTTACGTGCCCACTTTCGTAAACTTTAAACAATATAGTGTCATATCTAGATAAAATAGCCTAAGCTATATTGAAATATAATTTAAAGAATTACAAATATCAGATATAATAAAATCGCATTAAATAAATAAACCAATATAAAATAAACAAAAGCTAGCTAGAACAATGTAGGTAGCCTATATACAATACATAAATCAAACCGTTTTAATGCCACATATAGCCTAACTTTCATTTTACAAAGACCTATATCTAAAAAAAAAAAAAAAAGATTTTAGATATTTTCTAAAAACAAAAAAAAAAACACCAGAGAAGGTTTGAAATATTATTTATAAAGTATTTGGATGCGATGATATTTATCAAATTGCGCAAACAGAGCATTATTTGGGTAAGTGAAAGCAGAATCTAGCCTATACCTTTTTTCTGTCACCCAGTCCTGCGCATCGCAGCCTTAAACACATTGGGGAAAAGTCCAAACACAAAATGTGTTCTATATCCTCAAACAAGTGTTTATGTTTTTATATGATGTGGTTAAATTTATAAATGACACTTTAAATGAAGAGCTTTCGTGAAAAGCTGCTGAGCGCAACAAATATGGCTATATTTTATTAGGCTACTCGCTCTTATGCTGAAACACTTAACACGGCGTCTATCAAAACGAGGATGTTATAAAATACATGCCATATCGAATTATAAAGGAGAATTTCAGTGGCTTTATATTATGGATGTGTGCTCTCACTGTGATGGGTCCCTGCGTTAGTGGCGACAGCACTCGCACAATGCCAACAATCGGCGAGTAATGAATGGAAATACACAGTACTGTGCGTATAGACATTTCATGTACTACTGTACAGTAACGTGTCATTTGTTTGTTTCGGTTGTCTTCATTTTATTAGTTTCGTTTCGTGATGATTCTATGGTGGGCTTTATCTGCCTAATTCCCGCTGAAGTGGGCGCCGCTGAAGTGGGCGGGTTGTGTGACGTTTGATTCGGGGACGTTCTAGGGGCGGTGTTTGCGTGACGCGCTGTGAGCTACTAGCCCGTCAGTGGAAACGCGACATGATTTCGGCCTCATTTCTCAACCTCCCGGGCTAGTGGCCCGGGCCGGCCCGATTAAAGCCCTGGCTCGCACTGGCCCGATCGTGGAAATGCGGCTACTGTCTTTCTCCCCTGCGTGTGTGTGTGTTTGTTTGTTTTTCCTCTGTCCTCAGCGCGTGCCCAAATAGCAACTCCCATTTTTATTCAAACCCTGCCCATTTTCCCTCCCTCGTGCTAGACACACCCACTTTCCTGACTTTTTCCAAACTAGAGGTGTGAAAAAATCCTGCTGAAACGGGGGTTTCATGGCCCTTTAAAGGGGCTAATAATTTTGACCCTAAAATGGTCTTTAAAAATAAAAAAATGCTTTTATTCTAGCTGAAATAAAACAAATAAGATTTTCTCCAGGAAAAAAATAAAATAAATAATATATATATATATAGTTAAATACTTATTAAATTAATCAAAAAAAATATATTTAATAAAAGTAATGACAAACAGGATAATAAAAAAAAGTTAAACGTTGATTCCCGCTGAGATGGATTTAAAGGTAGAAATCCCTTAACTTAAGTAAAGTTGCATTTATATGTTATGTTATTTTAACCTTGTCACAAAATGTGCCTACTTTTAGCCAGTCAATAAAAATTAAACCGCAGTGTTTCAATGAACACAACCAATGCATTGTATTCAAACACATGCAGTTAAAAAATGCTATCATCATCAGTCTCAATGAAAAACTGTTTTTTTCTTCTTTTGAACAGTTACTTTCAACAACATCAGTGCAGATCCGTGTTATAACTATAAACCTCTGGATCGTCCCAGGAGAGCCACAAATGAAAGTGGATCAGACATTTGTGAAGAGTTTTTCTCCTGGAGCGGCTGGTACACACTTTTCTACTATGGCCTGGACATCCGAATGCCAGAGCGCTGCAATAGTGAATACAGCTGTATTGCAGAGCACAGTCTGAGGCTCAATAGTCCTCACCCAAGGATTAAGGATATAGTGGTGACCAGGGATGTCTGTGTTTTTTTATTTATTTTTTTTATTCTGACCTGAGCTAAATGATGTAATGTAGACTACATTTTTGTTTCTGTATTATTTAATGAATATTTTTAAATTAATGATAGCTACAGTTAATATTCAGCTTAAGGGCAATGATAGTGTGAATTACTTGAATGCCATTGACTCTCTTGCTGTATGAGGCGAAAACCGGTAAGGTGAGGTGTCACCTCATGTAGTCTGCACCAGTTACAAACAATATGATTTAGACTAGATATTGTTGGTAAATGGTGCCGACCATGTATATTTCAAGAAAGCTGTAATATTCAACAAGGCTGCATTTTATTGAACAACTGGGATAATTTAGTTTAAATAAAACTGTTATTTTTGGTTTGTGTAGACTCAAATGTCACACAATCCTTTCAAAATCATTCTGAAATGCTGATTTTATAATATTATTTGTTAACTAAAACTATGCAGCTTAATGTTTTTGGTTGAACAGTTTTGAAGCATGTTTAACATTATAAAAACTTTTACTTTCTTTTGCTTTGTGTAGTTTCTTGTTAGGCGAGGCAGTGGCGCAGTAGGTAGTGCTGTCGCCTCACAGCAAGAAGGTCGC